CATCTGAAAAAATTCCCCTCTAGGGGTGAAAGTTAAAGAGAGCTGGTGAGCAGTCTAGTATGCTTGCTGGTAACTCACCTGGGTCTACTTGTTGAGTAGAAGTGGAAGAAACGGAGCAATGAAGCAGGGGTGGGTGGTGGGTGGGTGGGGGCTTAGTTTGGACATGTTCCACTGGTACCTGTTGACCTTGAGATAAGAGAGAGAAGAAGCGCTTACTGGTCTGAAGTGTAGGGAATTGTGTGAACTGTGCCCATGGCCACTGAACTAACTTCTGGGGGCTAGGGCTGAGAATGAAGGGGACCAGCTAGTCTGAAGTACAGGAAGGTGTGTGTGAACTCCCAAAATTGCAGCTGGCTAGGGCAGCTTGGATGTCTAGGGCTGAATTGAACAGAACCTGACTAGTTGAAGAGGATGATGTTTGATATTGTGAGCAAATGTAAATTGCTATAATTTGAGGGACTGGACTGCTTATGGATACAGTTACTCAAAATTCCAACCGGAATGGAAGATTCTTCAGATCAAGGAATATGTTTGTTTCCACAGAGTACTGGCTTGATAGGGATGGGAAATTTTAAACCTGCCTATCAAAAATGGGGGCTATAAAGGCGTGAAGTGACTGACTTACAAGTTTTTGTGGGTGTGCTTAGTTTCAGAATTGGAGGGGAACAAGGGAGAATCCTCACTAAATAGTTTTCTTCTATTCCAGATGGATCTGGTGAAAGAAGGTGGTAGATAATGCTGATAGGATTTTATGACTCAATTGTGAGTAATTGTTAGCAAGTTTAATTGTAATTGTCAAAACTGTAAACTCTAAGGCCAGGAATGGTTAGTTTTTGCATCCAGCTAGGCTTAAAAGGAGCCATCTCAGAAGCAGGAACAGACAATCTCAGAACCATCAAGAAGGAAGAGACAAAACAACAATGAGATACCATCTCACACCAGCAATAACAGCAAAGATAAAAAAAGTTGAGGATAATAAATGCTGGTGAGGATGTGGAGAGACTGGGACAC